GGGAATTTCGGATCGTGACATTGCACCAACCCATTAACAAACTTGGCATCAAGGGCGATTTATTGTGTCATAAAATCTTGATCCGGAACCTCTGTTTTTGTCCATCTCCACCTCTATTTAGCTGTCTAGTTCGTCGTGACATTGATAGATACGTAGTAATATACTAATTGTTGACTTTTTCTCCCAGAAGCTAAGATACAACCTCAGGGAGCCACTTTCTGCTTAAACATTTTGCTACAGAAATTTGTCTATATTGCAAATATCAACACTCCTGTGGCATTATCATAGGAGTTATATTCCTCCTGTAATTTTTCATTGGCAATTTTGTACTACTATATATACTTTTGCACATAAAAAACAATAACAATGCCTCAATCCAAGTTTACTATAAAAGATTTATTTGTTCCATTTTACAATTCGTAGTCCATGACAACCTCCCAAATCTTTTTTTCTTCATTACAGTTTATGGACATTGTTTCATCTTACACAAGCTCTATTCTATTTTAAAAGAAGAAGATTTTAAAACTATTTCTTTTTCATCAGGTTAAATCAAACTAGTACAAATATTTCGGGGGCTGCTAATTAATTAATTCGGTTCTGGAAATAGGTACCCGCAGCTGTTATGGGTGCCCTCAAGAGTATTTGGAATTAATGTCATAACAAGAGTAGTATTTTTAAGCTGAGGTTGCTCATGTCCTTCAGGTAACTGTCTTCGGATCCTAGAGTTGGGATAAACTATTTGTTCTGAAGGATAATAATGTTGCTTTTACCAGCTAATATGGTCTTAGAGAAGTGGCGGATTCAGAATTTAAAAATTATGAGTTTCTACATCAACTTCAAGTAAATTTACAATAATAACGGGATTCACAATCAAATATTTATAAATTTTTAGTAAACTTCTTAATATATAAAAAGGATCTAAGCAAAAGTAACTGGGTTCCAGGGGCGGAGGCAGAGTGCGGGACGCGGGTTCGGCCGAACCCAATAGCTTTTGTTCAAACTATGTATTTGTCTCAAGAAATCCATTGAATACGTACAACTTGTTAATTTAAAATCCAATAACTTAAAAATATTACAATTTCGAACCCAAAAGGTTTAAATTTTGGCTCTGCCTCTGCTGGGTTCCCGTAAACCCATACGCGGTACTCTAGATCTGCCACTGTCTTAGAGGTCCTATAACAACTAGTTGAATGGCGACGCAAATTGACGGGCTTGTTTGATTTTTTTTTTTTTTTTAATCCCCTAACATGTATATTAAAAATACAAGGAGGGGGCATAAACCAAAACCTCCGCAAGATTTGGTACAGAAGTAGCAAAAATTGTCTTGAACATTAAGTAGAAACCTTGATACCGTGCTGATGTCGAAACTTAAAGATGGTGTGCACTGGGGCACTTGTATGACGTAACAATAACTTTGTTCCCAAGGCACTATGCAACATGGAGGTTGTATAGCTTAAGACGATAACACCATCATACCTCCATGTGTGAAAGCATCATCCTAAGGTGGATCAAAGTATCACCCTGAGTGTTTAGTAGTTTTAATTCTGAAAGAGGGAATTTGCATTCTATCCATCCTTATTGCTCCTCTAGCTTCACTAGGGAGGTTAGCTTCATGGTAGTACATGCATTCATCATCCAAAGTTGTTGCATATTTGGCCAAGGAATCTGCCACATGATTTCCTTCCCTATAGCAATGTTGTACTTTGATTCCATGTTGTGTGACTTTCTCCTGGATTTTACCAATATCCCTTTGTAGTCTCCAGGGAATATTAGTTGTGCCAAGAATCATGTTAACTACTAGCATTGAATCAAGTTCTAGGATCAACCCCGCAAAACCTTGTTGGCAACACCACAATATTCCCTGAAGAGCAGCCTGTGCTTCTGAGAAGTTGTTAGTTGAGAATTGTATTGGAGTTGCAAATGCCATTACCAAATGACCATTTCTCTTCCTAACAACGCCGCCTGCTCCTGCTCTCCCTTGTACTGCCATATAACTTCCATCCGTATTTAGTTTCCAGGTATTCTCCTCTGGTCTGAGCCATTTGACCATCTTACATCTGAGACATGGCTTGTAGGGTTCTGAAATGTCGCAAACCGTGTGCCAGCTCCAACCCCAATCCATCTGGCTGAACCTTTTTCCCATCGCAATTTTGACCTGGAATAAAATTTGTTGGCAGATTCTAGCAACATTGGTGGACTTGCTGCCATACTTTTTAGCGCACCTTGCTTTCCACAATTCCCAGCAGGTGATTGTAGGGGTGATCAGGAGGAGAATTTTGTGTACGATGTTTGTGGCAGGTCTATTCCACCATTGCTTAATAATATTCATAATACTCATACCTCTGACATGAATACCGAGAGGTTTGGAAATGAGGTTCCAAACCTTGAGAGCGCATTCTCCTGACGTGAAGACATGATTGTGAGTTTCCTGCCTTGGGATTCTACAGCAAGTGCATCGAGAGACTGTGTTGAAGACAAAAAGGTGGACCGTGTCATCCAGAGATAGCTTTCTCTTCATCATTCTCCAACAGAGAAAGGAGATCTTAAAAGGAACTACATTACACCAAACATTAGTTAAGAATGGAGTTGGTTCATGTTTCTGCCTTAAGACTTGGAAAGCACTGGCATAGGAGAAGGTCCCATGAGGATTTAGAGTCTAGATAGCCTTGTCTTTACATTGAGTGTCTCCAATCTCCACTTTTAAAATATTATCAACAAAATATTGTGGTACAGTGCTTTCGAGGAGGTCTGAGTTCCATGTACTATTTCGGATGAAGTCACAAACTTTTCTATTGCCAGGCTTATTGCTAGAGTTACATAGTTGATGTATGGGGCCTAGGTTGGACCAGTTGTCCCACCAGAACAGCATGTTGCCCTCATTTACCAACCACATAATGTTTGTGCTCTATTTTTTCTCTAATTTGTGGTAGGGTTCTCCAAATACTAGAGTCTTTGGTATTTTGAATTTTAGATATAGGGTTAGATCTAGGACAATACTTGGCCAGCAGAAATTTGGTCCATAGATTATCTTCACTTGTGAACCTCCACCATCTCTTTGCTTCAAATGAGCTACATATATCTTGCAATCTTTGAAGCCTACACCTTCCTCTGAGTAAGGATAGCTCATGTTACCCTAAGAGCTCCAGTGATATTTGTTCTTCCCTTCATTCTGACCCCAGAAGAAATTAGATAAATACATTTCAATTTGCCTTATTATGGTCTTGGGTGAAACTATGGCAGCTAATAGATAGAAAGTTTGAGATTACAAAACATGATTTATAATAAGAGCTTTTCCCCCATGGAAAGGAATTTTCCCTGCCAACCCCCTGTTTTGTGTAGAACTTTGGTTGCTAAGCTTGAGAAGTAACACACTTTCTTCCTTCCCACATAAATTGGATAGCCCAGGTACGTAAATGGAAATTCTGCTTGTTTGTACCTCGTCCAGTTCCTTATCCTTCCGTTGATTCTCCTATCACAATTTTTATGCGTCAAGAAGAAGCTTTTCTCTTTGTTGATTTCCTGACCAGACGCCTCCCGGTACTCATTAAGCACATTCAAGATGAGCTTTACTGACTTTTTGTTCCCTGAAGTAAAGAGCACTAAGTCGTCAGCATAGCTTAAATGATTGATCTTAGGCCCTCTAGGATTCATAGTAAACCTTGTGAATCTTTCATTCTCGTGAAGTTGATTCAAGGCTTTAGACAACGCTTCAACAGCTAGAATAAATAAAGCAGGTGATAAATGATCCCCTTGCTTTAGTCCCCTAGAAGAGCCAAAGAAACCATTTCTGGTTCCATTAATTAAAATAGAGTACCAATTATTGGATAATAATCTGTGAATCAGTTCAATAATCCCTTCTGCAAACCCCAATCTTCTTAGAACTGCTGAGAGAAAGTTCCAGCTGAGCTTGTCATAAGCCTTTGACATATCGAGCTTGATAACTATAATAATGGTATTTGGATCAGCTTTGTGTACCTTGATTATTTCATCTATGCTTAGTTGCACGGTGCAACTTGCACCCAATTTATCTGTTCTTAAAATCCTGGTAAATTTAGGGATTCAATTTACTTTACCTACAGTCAGTTCTTAACTTTAGACAACGTCGAGCAATGTAGTGTCGACATGTGATCAGTTAATCAGTTGCCTTTTTTCTCCTTCTCTTACCTCCTTAATTCTGTCAATGAATACTGTTCTTTCTCCAGCTTCAATTTCTTGTATACTTTACGTAAAGTTTATCATGTATATTTCTTTGCAAACCTAAAATATGTAACCAGTGTGCCTCCTTTCCAAATGATTAAACTTTTAGACGGGACAAACATAAAATAATCATAGTTTCGAGAGAAAAGGGTTAGAATACGTACACCCACAAACAAAATTTTTTCCGTGTTTGGAAAAAGAATGTAAGGTGGCATGTTACAGATTTAGAATAAATACTATGTAACAAAGAGTATTATTATCGTTCAAGTTTTTACGATTCACTCAATTCAATACTGAAACACTTTCTATTCGCATTCTTAAATGTATTATGCATTTGCTATTTTTTCTTTTTACGAAAAGAAATTCGCCCACGATACCTGTTTAAACAATTACAAAGAAAAATCATATATATAGTTTATATATCCAGTAGTACTTAAAATGAAATCCATCAGATTGCCAACCCTTGAACGTACTACATGATTTGTGTACTGCAACTCTATGTCTAGTTAGTCAACTGTACTTGCAGTGCTAGTACCATCTGAACTTGGAATTTTTCATTCATCCAATTTCTTTAAATAAAAGGAAATCTTTTAATTAAATTATCTTTTGAATCGATGCATCCATTCCTATTTGCTATGCCTGTGGTCAACTTATCCCTCATCATTCCAAGTTATTGCTAGTACTTGTTAACTAGTTGACTTATAATAAATTTTTGTTATTTTAAAATATATAATTTTTTTTAATAAACTTTAAGAATCTATACGTGTAAATTCACACTGAAAATTAAGTTCCTTTCACATTCGTTCCTTCATATAAATTGAGACAAAATGAGTATAATTTTCTTGAATATAACTTATGTATATCGTAGGTCGGTGTAAAGAAATTTTTATACTATCACGTTACTTTAAGGATATCTACCGATAAATCTCTTCAAAATGCGGGTAAGTATTCCAACAGATAAAGATGACCTAATGGTATAAATATGTCTCAAATTGACACAATACATATAACTTAAAATCTTTTTTTACCTTGATCGGCAAAAGAGGTAAAGTGACTCTTCCAGTTTATTGAAAGGCAAATAAATCTTGTAGGCGCATTTAATAAACTGCTAAAGACCTAAAAAAATCTCGATTAAAAAAACTGAGATAGTTCCAGTACTTGAGAAGTCTACGCAAGGGAATTAGTAGCTAACATCAATGACAAAAAGTAAACGCTACAACATCTTTTATAAGCCAATCTCATCGCATGCATATGTATATGCAACAACGATCAAGATAGTAGTAATTCAATTCAAGAAACGATCACAATTTAGGCAAAGATGGGAAGCAGATTCGTGTGGAAAATTGTTTTGCTATTGGTTTTTGTTGGATGGCTCTTCATCTGGATAATGTTACCTACAAAGACTTACAAAGATTCATGGACTCCCCAGCTCAAAATCAAGCTCAACTCCACATATTTCAGAGAACAAGGTAGTGATTAATTAAATTAGCTTAGTTTAATTTCTTCCCGTTTTTCCAAGTAAATATAACGCCAAATCTGAACCATTTCCTAAAGTTCAGGAGCATATTTGGACCTTTGCCCTAAACCTAATTGACACTTCTTTACTGCAGGGATAAATCTTCTTTTATTTACATTTCCTATAATGTTGATAGCTGCTCTGAGCTGCATCTATCTTCATCTTTACAGCAAGTCAAGTTCTGATCAGAGGTAATTAGTTAATTACTTAATTTCATCTTCTCGTTCTCAGCCATTAATATTTATCACGTTGAAGGAACAAAAAGATAACATAATTATATATTCTCGGCATGTTATAATTTTGTGACTGGTTGGTGAATTTTTGCAGTAGTAATAGCAATAAGGGGCAATATTTTCGTTCATGGAAACGGCCTGTGCTTGCGATGGCTCCTCTGGGAATTGTGAACGCCGTTGAGCTTGCCTTTGCTGTTATGTTTATCGCCCTTCTAGTTTGGTCTTTATCAAACTACGTCTATATCAGCTTTGGTCATCTCCATATGCACAACGCTGGAGAGAAAGTGTAGGTTTTTCTACTTCTTAAAATTAAACAGTTGAATCCTATTGTTGATATGTAAATATATATCTATGTTCCGCGTAAAAACTGTTGAATTCAGTTGAACTAATATTACAACATCGATCCGCCTCTTCTTATCAATGGATCGGTATTTTGGGTAATTTGCAGGTGGATGGCAAAGTTTCGAAGTGTATCTTTAAGGCTTGGCTACCTTGGGAATATTTGCTATGCGTTTTTGTTTTTCCCTGTGACCCGATTGTCTTCAATTTTGCCGCTGGTTGGGCTAACCTCAGAATCAAGCGTTAAGTATCATATCTGGCTTGGTCATGCCTCAATGGCTCTTGCCATTCTCCATAGTGTTGGCTTCGTCATATACTATGCCGTCTCTCATCAAATGATAGAGGTTTGTTGACATATATCCTCGACAATATTCTTTTAGTATTTGGAGCTCTTAGTTATTGCTCTCTCTATTTCAAAAAGAATGAACTTATCACTCCTATTTAGGGAGTCAAACACGTTTTTTTTTACCATGTTTATTGTAAATAGTTTTTAAATATTTTGAATTGTTAATTTCTGTGACTTATTATAGTACTGTAGTTTTTAAATATGTAAATTTTATTTCAATAACTTAAAGAAGTTATAGCCGAATTCACACAAAAAATTAGTCAATTTGATCCTCGTACTCCGAAAAGGTTCAATCATATGTAACGGAGGGTATATATCTTTGGACGATAAGTTTACTGACAAATGACTTTAGGGTGAAATCTGTAGATTCACCTGAACTTATTACTTTCAGTTCGAAACTATGTTATGTTATATATATATATATATATATATATAT